ACCACCCCGTGTGGTCATCCGGATCTACACTGCAATAATGAGACCTATGATAACGTATGGAGCCGTTGCATGGGGACTGAAAGTTCTACAAGCAACGGTCATCCAAAAATTATACCAAATACAGCGAATGGCTTGTTTGAACATCACAGGAGCCATGAGAACAACACCAACCGCGGCAATGGAATTAACCACGGGCCTGACCCGTCTTGATCTGTACGTTAAGGAGATTGCTTTGGTGGCCATGGTACGATTGCGCACGGCTGGTGTAAACCTCGAAGTAGGAATGGGTCAATTGAGGCTGGGCCTGTGGCGGGAAGCGCTTACTGCGCAACTTCTGCTGCAGGCAACAAGCGATGCAATTGAACCCAGGTTTGTGTTTAATAAACCCTACAAAATAAAAATAAAGCAGAACATAGAGTCAGATGATATAAACGCAATACGGATTTACATAGACGGCTCAAAAACCATGGAAGGCTCAGGGTGTGGAGTGTATTCCAGATCACTAAGCCTAAGAATTAAGTGGGGAATGGGAAGAAATACCAGTGTGGTCCAAACAGAACTGGCTGGTATCTCAATCGCCACAAAAGAATTAACCAAGAAAGGAATTTCTGGCAAAAACATAACGATCTGCAGTGACAGCAGACAAGCCCTATTAGCCTTGGACAGACAACGTATAACCTCAGGGCTAGTACTAGAGTGTCACCAAGATTTAGCCAAAGCCTCGGTAGATGATAACATTATCCTGAGGTGGGTTAAAGGGCACGACAGGAGTAAAGGTAATCGCATTGCCGACTTTTTAGCCAAGGAAGAATTTAAGGACCCAGTGGCACCTACGGCCTGATGACTTCGACAATTGCGGAACTAGGCATGTGTTACACCCATGCTCAATCCTTAAAGAGATGGGACGAAACCAAAGCATGTAATCTTGCCAGGATCACCTTGGGTGACCCTGGGAAGCTGGCGCCGATGAAATATTTGGCAATGACCAGGAAAAATCTACGCCTAACAGAAGGATTTCTGACTGGTCACTGTCAACTACAGGATGTACAGGAAGATGAGACTGTCAGGCATGTCCTGTGCGAGTGCCCGGAGTTATCGTCAATAAGAGAGTGTGTGTTCGGCAAGTCTTGTCCTACACCTGCCGATATAAAGGAGATGTCTCCCAGTGACCTGTCCACCTTCCTGGAAAGGACAGGATGGACGATGACCTAGGAGGACAACTCCTCGGGGGGATGTACAATGGGTCACATGTGGCCTAAGTATAGTGGGCTTAGACTCACCCTCCCTACTCAACAGATACAGAGTTTATGTTTGTCCCTACTACTAGTGCTGCCTCTCGTGACACGTTCGCTGTACCTACTATTCTCAGAAAAAAGGCTCATTGAAGTATCGCCGAGTCTGAAGTTTTGGATCTTGTGAAATTATGTGAACAAACGGAAAAGACTACCCGGAGTAGTTTTCTGGGTCCTATAATGTTCTGTTCATCAAGAACGTTTGAAATAAACATCAATATAAATGCAGCTAAGTTTGCCAACAACACTTTCTTTGTTATCAGTTCTAATATGGTCTAATTGTGATTAATACGGTGACAAAAGTGTTCGTTTTCTCTCTCTCTCTTACACGTTCTGCAGAGGAGGATGCATTAGAATACCCCTTCTGATGAAGGTGCCAACCGTGGGGTAAGAGTCTCCCAAATTTGTTACTATTCCTACCATCGTATCGTTTTTCCATCCTTGCTCGATACGGTGCTAGTAGGTGTCTACAGCTGCAGTTGTCACGTCTGTGATTTGCATTTGAGGTAAATTTCACGTGATTACCGTTAACATCAATGCCCAGGTCTACAATTAGTTACAAGTTTTTTATCCCCAGACTTAAAAATTGATACTGTAATGGATTCTTTGAAGGAGGCTGGTATTTCTCCTACTATGAGGATTGAATTTATTATATGACAGAGGGGTATAGCAAAGTAGGGGAAAGGTGTGCGAGATGATTCACTTAAAAGAGAATGCTGGTAATTCAAATGATATTCGACATATTGCAGATATAAATACATTTATCCATAGTAAATTTATCTATCTGATTGTTATCATACTCAAAATATATATTTTGTGATGTTTTATTATTATAAACACCATTTTTCAAAACGTTATAAGAGGACCATCTTGTACACCCCGGTGTCCAAGATGATCTCTGCGGTAGGGGCAAGATGATCCCAGGATTATGTCACTCCCCTCAATTTGAGATTGCCATAGGTCATGGTAGAATTACCTAAATAAAGTCATCATCAGGGTTTACTATCTTAAATCCAGTCAGTCGGTCCCCATGTATAATTAAAGAAGGAAACAATCATCATATTGTATGAGATCTGTAGTTAAGTAAAGGTTCAACAAAATTATATAATCTTCTAAAGTAGGTAAATAACTCATCATCAAAAATAGATAATCTAGTAAAATGAATCTCACTACTCAAAATCAACATTAAGAAAATAAAAAAATAATTCCTGCATTATTTTCAACAAATACAAATGAAACTCAAAAAAATATTTTATAGTGCTAAGCGCCTCTTTCGTGGCGTAATTTTACACCAATCACATGTAAATTCATCAGGATCATCGCTATCTATCCCTGAACAAGCTTCATGGCCCCATCTTTGGCATACACAACATTTTATCCATCCCTCGCCCCCTATCATCTTTGGAAAATGTTTGCATACAGAAAATACATTCTGCATCTTCTTCTTCAGATGACTGTGATACAATATTCTTTCTTTTATTTAACATTCCTTTGCCTACACTTCTCCCTTTCTGTTTCTTTTCAGGATGTTTTTTCTTTACATTTTGTTGTGTTTTATTGGTTCTATTTTCTTTATCTGTCTTTTTATTGCTCTCTTCCGCTAAATAAATTTTATATGGCGTGCTAGTTAAGATTGACGTGTTTATTAGTTTTCTCTCAAGATGGCTTCTTTTACCGACAATTTTGGGCAAAGGATGAATTTGAGCTGGTGCAACATTAAAAGGTTCACATTGGCTATCTTCCAGAATGGATGACGATACACTTGAGGTGCGTACGAAGCTCGTAGATGGCAATGGCGACAAAGGACTCTGAATTGACAAATTTTCATCATTTATGGGGGTTGGTGACGGTGTTTTATTCTGCAAATCTGCGAAGACATATGAACTGGTTCTGGTGAGGGATCCGTTGCTGGTAGTTGTTGTATGTTTGAAACCGTTGAAGAGGCTTCATTAAATTCCATTTCGGTTATTGCTGCAGTGATAAAGACAGTTTCGGTAAAACACATCCTGGTTGACAGGGAATGGCACAATGGCAAACCCATTGATGGCATTTAATAGGACCGCTGCCTTTAAATAAGCCTCTCCAAAAATCTTTGCAATCTGAAATACAGTTACTGGCCTGCCAGGATTGGCAGAATAATCCATTTTTCGAGTGACTGATTGTGGTATGTACTTAAGGGATACATCAAACTGACATCTGAAGGCTGCAGTTTATGGGTGCAGTGTGGAGGCAAGCAGACAATAGTGACATGGTTTTCTCGAGCTTCCAATATTAATTCCAGATTTTTTGTGTGTGAAAGGTGGCCATCTAAAATCTACAAAATTGGGTTCTCTGCAGAAGGTTCCGTGTAGCTTATAAAATGGTCAAACTATTTGGTAAAACTTTCAAATTCATCTATCCAGATGAATTACATTCCCATGCGGAGCCTGGTGGTGCGCCATCTATTAATTCCATCTCCATACGAACTCTTCGAAAGATAAACATAGGTGGTACAAAAGTTCCAGAAGCAGACATACAAATTACAGCAGTTTTAGTTTTCCCCCTTTCCCACATAGCAATAGATATTCCAGGTATATTTCATGAATATACATTTAAGGATATTGTATTATGCTATGAATATGCCATGGATATATATATATCTTCTGGAGAATATTCCCTGGAAGTGCTCCTGGCGAACCTTTGATATATTTTAAGAATATTATATGATATACAGGGAATATTCCATGAATATCTAGTGCTGTGTGGGTTCAGCTGATATAACTCGATATAACCTGTTTACGTCCAGTTCCTGCAAACACCTTTGTATTTTTGGTAGTCACCGTAGAAATGCTAGTTTCTTCAACGTTATAGATACGGTGACCCGGATGGTTGTTTGTCTCTTGAATACATTTTAATGTGGAATTAAACTTATCTTCCACTGATTTATTAAAGGTCTGTGCTCGAGCAGTAGAAGTGGATTCAGGTGCACGAAGGGCTATATCTGGATGCCACTAACGCAATCCTCTCAGCCAGTCATATCCTGCTTTTTCTCTTTTGAAAGGGTTGGTGATATTATTTTTTACTGCAAGTTGATATGTCAAAGATGAAACGTCTTGTCGTGTTAATCCGTACATCCCCATCTCCATTTCTTTAATATGCTTCACGAGCTCATTTTCCTGTTCTGCGGTAAAAACTGTTTTTTCCCTGCTAAATATTCAATTCCACCGACAGCCACTTCATTTTCGCCTTTAGCTCGCCTTTTTAGCGACATAACATGCACTCGGAATTGTTTGCCCCAACACAACCTTTTTTATTCAATGATCGATAACATAACCAATGTGGTTTCAAGTGTTTCCATGCTGTTAAAAAATCAAAATAGTGTAATATACAAAGCTAACTAATACATCAGCCACGACACTAAAGTACGTTAGAACACATTAAACATAATTTTAAAGTCAACCTTACCTTAGATTGAAGTAACATAATTTTTGTTTTCTTCCTCGAAAAATTTAACTATCGCTCAAGGCGCCATTACGATTGACTGTGGCGGGGGAAAATCGGGGACTATATTTTACCGATAAATACAACTAGATGGCACAACTAGTTTCGTTGCAATATAAAATGATCATCTTCCTTCAATGGAGCATCTCGTACACCTTTCCCCTAAGTGTGAAATTGCATCAGGTCCAGTAGATGTACTATTTATGAGTCCAGTTATAACATTGTAAATAGAACTTGAACATGATCAGTTTATTCGAAATAATTTACAAATAGAATGGTAAAATTTTCTCTGCAATCCATTTATGTGTGCAAATCCTCTGGTATACGACCGGTGACTGCTAACTTCTTGAAAAACTGTGCTGACTTCTTCGGAATCCTCGTTTTGTTAGGATCATTTTGATCGATGTAAAAAAGGCCAAAGTGTGAGCTTTAATAAAAAGTATCTCAATATCTATCAATGAAAACAAAAGTGTTGTAATACTTTTTCAATAGTTCGTGTTACAAGTGTGCAGAGTAAAACTATTTTTTATTCTATATAGATAGCAAACTTTGATAAAGATCAACATTTTACAGTTGGCTATTTTAAGTTTTTTATATTTTTATTGTAATTGTTTATTGCAGAACGTTTTTTCGAAATAATTATAGAAAAATGCAATTCGTTAATGTCATGAAGTGGTGTTGACAGAACAATAATTATTTCAACCATACTGTTATACAGACTATTTTTTTAAGCGGACCAACATCAAGTTTTCGGGAACCTTCAGAGTTAGGAAGTCGGTGGAATTTTAAAAAGTTGCGTAGTTCTAAAGTCAAATAAACGTTGTACAGAAAACGAAAAAAGTATTAGGCGTTTTCAAGATATTCGAATTTTTTTTTGTAATTTTGTCAACCTTCTGATTTCGAAGGTTTTGGAGTTCCTAATAGTGGCCTGCCTGAAATGTTCTGCCTGTATATATGACTGAAATGTGTTATTTGGAAGTTATTTCACTGAAGTTTTTCGAATCACTTTGCAAGTTGACCCTATAGCTTTTTTGAGTTCATGAACTTCTGAACAACACTACTTGCATGTGTGAATTTGGTCTAGGAACTTCACCGTAGGAAGAAGCCGCTATCTGAAAGTGAAGAATGAAGGCTCCTATCTCCATCTCAGTTGAGATAAAAATTTCCAGCATTGAGGTGTCCAATCAAATCGGATGATATTTTCTATTGTACACTTTCTGTGATTCAGTCACCCTAAATTTTTGTAGTGATTTTTGTTCATGATCCCGAAAAGCTCATTACGTGGTTTATAACTCCTAATCCAGGCCAAATGTGCTGAATTTATTTTGAATTGAACCCTTCTTGAGTTTCAGCTTGTTTTGGTAATATCTATATAAGTTACTCAAGGTGATCATCAACTATTTTTCCTATCACAATTTCGTCATCCAGATAGGCAGAACCACCTAATGGAATCTAATGGAATCTTTGTTACTTACTTCAGGAACTGGCTGCAGAAACAGGTTAATGCGTTCTTCTTCGTGAATAGTACGTAACCATGAAATGCTCTCCCTCCAATGATTAATACCTTCTTTCAGCATGTTATCAAACATATTAACTACTCATTTCTGCTTGGTGAATAGGAATTTCTGGAGTGATGTCTAATGGCTTATACATCGACGACGGAAAATATCCCAGTAATGGGTTCTGTTTGGCCTGTTAATATTTTCATAACCAAGTTTTTCAGATTCGCGTATATTATCTTGCCGAAAAAGTAAGTTACCAGCTTTCTTGTAAATACCTACTGAAGATTCATTTTGTTCCATACAGCTGATGTTGGGCCAATAAACTCTCTTCCTTCATTTTTAGGGTTGAGTTGGAAATCTTGGGTCATTGAGCATCTAAAGTCGATACATGTTCCAACGTGTTAACTCTTTACCGTTTTTCTGTCGATTATTTTTCGAGCCCCATTTTGCATGTGATGCAAATAACTCACATCATAGCATTTGCAAACTTCGGGATACTTGATCTTCCCTTTTTTGAACATCTTTCAGAGACTTGGTGTTCTTCAAATATTCGAGCAAGGCCCGTACTTATAATCATTCTTATCGGATCCCACATATTCCAGTAGGTACCTTATCTTGAAGAGATAGCAAGTGCAGTAGCCTCATCCCCCTTCTACCAGATGTTGACATTAGTTACTGTCTTGAATTTCGACGCTATATGGCCCACCATGATTATCGAAAATTGGAGGCTTGAGAGTTCTACTGAGCAATTACCATTCCTTATCTTTCGTTCTTCTTTTCATTACCTTTTGCTTCGAATATTTGAGATTTGAGAGTTCTACTGAGCAATTACCATTCCTTATCTTCCGTTCTTCTTTTCATTACCTATTGCTTCGAATATTTATCTCTATGGAACGCCTTTTTACTTTTTATTGTCACAAATATTCATTCGTCAAATAATTCATCTAACAATTTATTTGTTTAAATTTAATTGATTCATGCATTTGTTGGATACATTAAAAACGATCGTTCGCAAAATTTGTTCTATTTTAAATGACACTTGATTTAAAATGTTACATGCATAAAATTGTTATTTGAATAAAAAAGACTAATGAAATAACTTGAGGCTTTTATTGATTCAGAAGAAAAATATTGTTTCAGAGTATTGTACAATGGAACGCCAATTTACTATATATTATGCTGAAAAATAATCTATATACATATAGTTCAACACAGGAATGAACAAACATCAACATCAAAGTTTTCCCATGAAACATTGTTGGTAATAAAAATAGACTTTCGTTTGTCTGAAAATATAGCAAATTAACTTTCCATACTAAATATTTTTCTATGAATAATAAAGATTGTTTTATTTCAATTTCATTGAAATTGTTGAATATTTTCAACATTCACTTCATTGCATTCAATTTAAAATTAAGTTACAACTTTTGTGCCAAACATTCTCGAGCAAGTATGATTTTATTTCATCAATCATTTTAAAAAGTCAATTTGTGACAAAGAATTAAATTTTTTGATGATTTAAAAAGTTTGTTGTATTTGAAAGATACATTTAAAACGATTTTTGATAATTTTAATTCGGCGCTGGTATCCAGCTGATTTATTAAAAAGTTCAAGTGTTACATATGGCAACATGCTAGTTCATTTATAGTACGACAAAACGCCGTTCAACCGTGGCGCCGAATAAAAATTATCAACAATCAATTTAATTCATGTATCACTGAAATTCAACAAACAAAATAATTCAGCGGCGTGGCATGCCGTTTTACTTTCTATTGGTATATTGATACATGAATACATGAACATGAATTAAATTGATTATTGATAATTTTTATTCGGCGCTGCGGACGGAATATTGTGTTACTATCACTAGACTATCATGTTGCCAGATTTAAAAATTCAGCTTCTACAAGAATCCGTTCGACGTTAGCGCCGAATTAAAATTATCAACAATCGATTTAATTCATGTAACTATAATTATCAACAAACAATTTTATTCATGTTTTACAGAAATTGTAGTAATTTATTCGATAGTTACAAAAAAAGTATATGACAAACATTTACTTCCAAAAATTTCAAACAATGAATCTATATTATAACTGTTCGCAACTTTTCATCAAACAAATTACTTCATGTAACATATCAAATCAAGTGTCATTTGAAATAGAAAAAATTTCGCCAACAATCGTTTTTAATGTATCGAACAAATCAATTAAATTCAAACAAATAAATTGTTAGTTGAATAAGTTGAGGAATGAATATTTGTGACAATGAAAAGTAAAACGGCGTTCCATATGTCCCTCTCTAGCTTCTAGAAACCACTTCCGATGCAAAATAGGTTTCGATAACTCATTACTAATTTCTATTCTTTGAGGAATATTTGTAAATTGCTATGCTAATCTATAGAAATTGGTGTAGCAAAGCTGTGCAGTAAAAGTTTTCGAATTTTTTATGGCACACAACTTCTGAAGAAGTATTGTTTATTAAAAATTGGAAAGATTCAGCAAACAGGTGTGACTTTTGTAATACCTGTATCCAGATGTCCATTCAAAGTTGTCAAGCAGACTCCAAGTCATTGCACCAAAAATTCTGACTTCATCCTTGTAGATAGCATCATGGAATGCACTCAAATACATCTGAAATATAAAAATTGATAGTGAATTAATTGAAAGTATGTTTTCTTCATGTTCTTGTAATGTGTCATAACACATTACATAAATAACGCTTTCTTACATTTCAGTTAGTGAAGGATCGTTTCCAGGGATTATCATAAAATATAAAAAAGGAATACTTTTCTTTCTCTCTCTCTCTCTGTCTCTCTATAGATTTATTGGACGTTGCTTTCTTTCGGCGCATTTGTCTATCCTCCTCCTATCAGAATTGACAGGAGCTTTGTCGGGGGAGGCGCAGCGGTCTTGCTCGAAGCAATGCTGCCACCCCTTTTTTATCCTTCATTTAGCCTCTTTCTCGGGAGACTTTTTGACCTTTTACACATAATTCAACACAAATGATAGATAAAATCCAGTCCCCACGTGGACACATGGTCCACTCCGGCCTCCAACCGGCATGAATGGGGATAGGAGTTATGTAGTTCCACTGTTACACTCCCACGTGGACATCCGGTCCACCCCGGTCTCCAACAGGTGTGAATGAGAGTGATGTTTATTTTATTGGTGGCACGTTCTATGACGGTGGACAGTCACAATACAAAACTGAGTTTCATCTCCAGAAAGGGCGTCCGCGTACCTTTTTTGTGTACTTTTGTTCTTTTCCAATTCCTTATCAAACTTTTTCAGAATGAGCATAATCACCTTTCAATATAAATTACATTTTTATCATTATGAGTGGAATTAGAACTAAATTAAATGTAATAATCAAATATGGAAATTTATATAATCGAAAATATATTTTCTAGGGAGTTGAAAAATATAGTAGAAACAGTTCGTACAAATTGAAATCATTCAAAGTTGGAGGAGCAGATTTAAAAAATATCTATAGAAAAGATGTGTTCAATTCAAGCAAAAACAAGCTGTACTTTAAATTATTGAAACGTCATGATTTCGCAGAATTCTGTTCTTCGATCAGAGTCATCTTCAGTAAATTGGTGTACCATTTTAATTTTGTATGGTGTGTGAAAAGTATTCACACAGTAGAAGAAGACACCTCACAAACATTCGCGACGGAATAAGTAGACTGTTCAGGATTTCTTACCATCTCACCAGTTATTTGCACTTGCTGGCACACCGTGGCAAAGGCCTTAGCTAAATCTAAAAAAAACAGTAATAGTTTTGTCTTGATTTTGAAAAGAATTGTTAACCAAATTAACTACTTCAAAGATGGCTTTGTCAGTGGACCTGTTTTCTCTGAAACCCAATTGACATTTAAAAAAAAATTATTATTTTCCAAGAAATGCACCACTCTTTTTTTCATACATTTTTCCAAAATTTTTACAAAATTGCTTATGAGTGTTATAGGTCTATAATTAGTTACAAGTTTTTTATCCCCAGACTTGAAAATTGGTACTGTAATTAATTTTTTGTAGGAGGCTGGTATTTCTCCTACTACGATGATTAAATTCAATATATGACAGAGGGTATAGCAAAGTAAGTGTGATACTTTTTAATAATATGAACAGAAATTCCATCAGGTTCAGTAGATGTGCTAATTTTGAGTCCATTGATTAGTTCTTTATTTGTTATTTGTAAATATAACTTGAATATGAGCTTTAAAAAAATGTATCTTAATATCTGTCTATGAAAACAAAAGTGTTGTTATACTTTTTCGAAAGTTCGTGGGACAAGTGTGCAGAGCAAAACTATTTTTTATTCTATATAGGTAGCAAACTTTGATAAAGAGCAACATTTTACAGTTAGCTATTTCAAGTTTTTTTAAATTTTTATTGTAATTGTTTTTTGCAAAAGTTTTTTCGAAATAATTATGAAAAATGCAATTCGTTGATGTCATGAAGTGGTGTTAACAGAATCCAATAATTATGTCGACCATACTGTTATACAGATTATTTTTTTATGCAGACCACCATCAAGTTTTCGAAAACCTTCAGAGTTAGAAGGTCGGTGAAATTTAAAAAAGTTGTGTAATTCTAAAGTCAAATAAACGTTGTACAGAAATCAAAATAATGTACCAATGGCGATTTCTTTAGATATTTCATACACATTAGCATTCATTATATATAAGTTTATAGGTTCATAGTTCCTGGCATGATAAGTCAGAACACCTATAAGATTTAAAAAGGTAAGCATGGTAAGAACTCGGCCAGCTCATTTCTTTCTACGATTCTGGCTTGTACTTCTTTATAGATGCCGGCTATGTTGGACCCATTATCATAAGATTGGCCGAAATAAAACACTGTCGTGAAGAGAGATCAACGAGGAAGTTTTCAAATATAGCTTTTGCATGCCCGTGTGCCGCGATTCGTGCGGGCGAGCGGGCGCGTATTTTGAAGTATGCCTACGCGCCTCGCGAATAAAAATGATCGTGCCCAGTGTAGATCAAAGTTGAGTGAATTATGAGTTGTCCGTACGTCTGTAAAGTGTGGATTTGGCCGCCCTCTGAACTTGCCGCTCGGGGCATAGGCTAGGGCTTGCCTCCCGCCTAGATCCGTGTGTACATAACAGGTCAACAAAAATTCAGACAGCAAACATGGTCGGCTCCAAGAATTGCGTTAACCAGATACTATTAGGCGAGTCATATATCGGTGAACCTAGAAACCGTTAGGGGTTCGTATTGGCGAACATGAAAAAATACCCATTGAGAAGAAATCAACAAATCGAGCAGCATGTTTTGATTTGAATATAACCGGAGTCTAATCCCAACACCTAACCGTCATTTTTAACACGTCCACATGTTTTTCAATCACCAAGTGATCATCTTCAAGAGGAAGTTTAATCTTCATCTTGAAGATGATCACTTGGTGGTTAAAACACTTGTTGAAGTGTTGAAAATAACGGTTTGGTGTTGAGATTAAGCTCCAGTAATATTCATAACAACACCAAAGATTCCAAACAGTGTAACACATGTTTTGATCTACCAACATAACATGGAGCATATGGGGGAATGGTACAAAAATTTGTCAAGAATCAGAAGTTAATCGGATATTTATTCTCAGTAGAGTATCTTGATAAAAAACTTACTAATCCCAACACCTAACCGATATTTTTAACATGTCGAGGTGTTAAAAATAACGGTTTGGTGTTGGGATTAGGCTCTAGTAATATTTATTACTACACCAGAGGTTCCAAATAGAGCAACACATGTTTTGATCTACCAACATAAATTAGTGGAGCATATGGAGGAATGTTACAAAAATTTGTCAAGAATCAGAAGTTCATCGGATATTTATTCTCAGTAGAGTATCTTGATAAAAAACTTGATGGAAACTTCGGCACTGTCGTGTTATATAGAAATATTCATTTTTGACAAGAAACAGTGTGAAAGGCTGAAGTTATATTCAATAAACACTTCAGTATTCCTTCAGATGAAATTTCAAAAACCTTTCCACTTTTGATGTTTTTTTGTTTCAAAATACTCACCCTAGAAAATCTAATTCTCTCATTGTCTTCTAAAGTTGTTCCATTATCAGAATAACCATATTCGCATATGAAAATTTCAGGATTATTGTATGTTTCCTTCAGCCATTTGAACACGTTTCTTGCACCCCACATTGCAACCTACACAATATAAAAAATGTTTCAACGAAGATTCAAATAGCATATTATTACAGCAAATTCCAAACAACAAATAAGAGAGGTTCGATATAAATATTCTACGAAAACTAATGCTATTAACTTCTCAAATTCTTAACTACAAATCTGAATTCTTTGTTACTACTGAAGGATAAATAAAATGGAATTCATATTCGTTAATCTTCTTTCAGAAGAGGCAAAACTTACCAAACCAAACTTCAATTCAAGTTATGGCAGTTAGAGGATCTGAGCCAAAAAAATAACTTGGAGATTATTCAATACTTGAGCAGTCTCTATTTTGAAGTGGTTAAATTTATTTTTCACGTAGCAAAGAAAGTTAACACGTGTACAGCTTAATGATCCGGGTTGGCTTTGTAAACATCTGAGACCTTTCAAATTAATTAGAAGATTTTAACGAAATTGTGTCACGTAAAATCATTTTGCCGGGTTCTCTCAACCAACTTTTTCTGAGCTGATTTTTTTTCAGGTCTTCTTCTGGTTCGGAAAGACGATTGAGTTCAAAGCCATTTAGGGAGCATTTGCATCATATAAGAATACGTTCATATCGAGACTATAAACTACATCTAGCTACTTGAATAACTTCAGTTTTTAGGGAACAAGTTCAACGTGGAAATGAACCACTTGTCAAATGTAAATTATAATCGACTGACCATATTTGAAAGATATGTCAATTCTATATTCAATGTTGTAGCATTATTGATATAACAATGGGAAAAATGAAATACAGATTCAGGTTTTTATTTCATTCAAAAACTTTCTAGAAACTAGGACAACCTGAACTATTGAATGATATTAATGAAAATAATAGGAATAAAATCACACGGTGGAAAATTTATTTCTCAAATACATAACATGGTCCTGAATATCATTATGTAGTTATTACTGACATCGTTAATGAATATGTCAGAATCATTCTGAAATGGTCACTGTCAGGTTAGTTTCATTATGACGTTCATTTTTTGGGAGTGGATGACAATGTTTCATGGTGATTTCTATTAGTTAGGACTTTCATTGTCTAAAATGAATCTAATTCAATTCGAAATCTATGAAAGAACAAATGAAACTAAAATGACTAGTTGAAATGTCAATTATAAGCAATGAATGTATGCAATGAAACGTGAAATAAGAATACAATAAAACAAAATAAGCAAATTAAAATATGAAATTTACCGGAGTAAAGAGAAATAAAAAAAGATAAGAAAGTAATAATACGCAAGGAGCGGTTCTGCAGAATGACCACCTACATTTCTCGATTTGTCTCCATTGGTCTTTTTTCTATGAGAATGGATGACATCATTTAATGAAAATTTGATCAGAAATGGACTCAACAATCTTCAAAAATTTTTGACATACATACTCATTTTTTAAGGCCTTCACTACTTCATGAAATTTAGTACGAATATGAAACACAAACTACCAAATATAACAAAAAAAAATTATGACATAAAACTTGAGAATATGAATGAATTAAATAGATTGGGAATATTAAAAAATCGAGAAATCAAAACTGATGAAAAGTGGTTAAAAAATCTGACTGAAGTCAACCTTCCCAAAGATATTGAAAAATTTCATGTACTTGTATACAATTTCAGCTTACCTCCAACAATAAAAGACATTTCGATTCCAAATTCATTGTTGGAAATCGAATATATAAGGAATGATTTCAATGAAAATGAGAAAAATATTTATAAAGCCAAAATCATCAACATACTTATTGATTATTTCCACAAACCATATAATTGTAAAAATCATCCGACTCAACTATATGAAAAATCAAAAGATTTTTGTGAAAATCGCCCAAACTAGATAGTAACTAGATCAGATGAAAGTAATGTGACCGTTATTATAAACAAAAAGAATTTTAATGAAAAATCGTCATGACAAAGAATTTTGTGTTTCTATCAAAAGAGATCATACCTCAACTTCTCAACAAAAAGCAAATGAACTTATTTTTGAATTGAAGAAATTCAAAATGATATCTGATGATATGCAAAGAAATTCATGATATATAACTCAGTTACACCAAAATATTACTGATTACCTAAAATGCATAAACCTACCCACAAAATCAGATCAATCAGTTCATCCGCTGATGCTCCAAATAGTAAAATATCTGCAATAATAAGAGAAATTCTGACTCAAGCACAAAACTTGGATATTATATCAAAGATTCTTTCGAATTTGTTACCCTCATGAATATATCGCAAGAGGATATAATTTCAGCAACATACCTATAGAACTGGTTGTAAAAGAAATTTCGAAAAGATGGAATGATATAGAAAAAAATTGTCAAAATACCCAAAACAAATTTTTTGAAATAAGTAAATTTCATTTGGAGGAAATTATTATAAACAGATCTTAGGTACACCAATGGCTACAACAATTTCAAGAATACTTGAACAATACGTTATATATGATCTCTTCGATGAAGTACTTCCCCAACATTGTTTCAAGGTTTCGTTTCTTGAAAATTTGTTGATGGTGTCACTTGTGTGAAATACTTGAAAAAGTTAACAGTTATAACCCCAAGTTACAAATCACTGTAGAACTGAAAGATAACTATACTACTCCTATTTTAGATACAAAAATAATTCGCAGAGATGACAATTCATCAGTAACAGATTGTTATATTGAACCAACAAGTTCCGGGAGATATATTATTTACAATTCATTTCATCAAAAAAAAAATCGAAAAACTAGTTCATCCTACACTAAAATAAAAAAATACTGTTATTGAAAAATTTACTAATAGAATTTTTTTTTCAGAAAATATACTCAACTATATCAGTTTTACTACTGTATGTAAGACAGAGCATACAAATGAAAATGCTTATAGTCAGATAGAAGACAGAATGAAATATTTTGCTTTTTCTAATATTGGAAAATACTCTTTCAAAACAATAAGAGGTTAAAACTAATTTCTACAGTAAACCGTATTGATTAGTTTTAATATCGATTTCCATCACATATCGGCAAGTTCTATTCAATTAATTGAAGTTTCTCACATTGAAAAGAATATCAAAATTTCTAAAAAAAATATTGAATTCATTGGAAATATTAAAACACAGTCAAAAGATTCTACATCTGATTTGGAAAAATCAAACGTTATTTACAATGTACCACGTAAAAATTCTGATTTCAATTATAATGGAACAACTTCCAAAACATTATCAAGCAGAATAACTTCACACAAAAGTGATATAAGATTAAATGAAAATTCATGTGCACTAACTCAACTTTCTATTGAAACAGGACACAAAATTAAAATTGATCGAGCAAAAGTTTCACATTCAGAAAAAACTATGTCCAAAAAGCTATTTCACAAAGTGATCCTATTTAACAAAAATCCCAATAACATGAGCATAAAAAAAGACATTGAAAATCTAAGTATTATTCACAATTATTAACCAGGCATAGATAAATCTCGGTAAAATTCTCAATTTAAAATAGTTACACCTTGTATAAAACCCATTAAATAAGCATTTATGAAATAGAAATATTTTCAATGATAATGTCACTCTTGTCATTACAGTAAGCTCTGAATATGACATCACTCACATATTTTTTTATTTAACACAACTTTTTCCATATCATCGCAGCTTTTTCTATCCCTTTTCAATCACTTATTGCCGAGTTTCCTCAAATTTGAATAAAATTCCATAATTTGTCACATGCTAACTCAACCTAACCTAACCCGACGTAACGTAACTCAGTCTATCCTTACTTTAGAATTTTGAAAAACTATGTATCCTCAAAATCTAACCTGATCTCCAAATTCTAAAAGGAACGTATTTCCGAATAATTACTTTTGAAATAACTATATTTCTTCAACATCTAACCTGACCTCCGAATTCTAAAAGGAACGTATTTTCGAATATTTACTTTTGTAACAACTATGTTTCCTCAACACCTAACCTGACCTTCGAATTCTAAAAGAAACGTATTTTCGAATATTTACTTTTGTAAAAACTATGTTACCTCAACATGTAACCTGACCTTCGAATTCTAAAAGGAACGACATAACCTATAAGGTTATATCGATGTGTGCACTTGAAAAATTATGGAATTTTATTATAATTTCAGGAAACTCGGAAATAAGTGATTGAAAAAGGATACAAAAAGGTGCGATGATATGGAAAAAGTTGTGTTAAATAAAAAAATATGTGAACTGCAATCGTTCATTGCTTTAAAAAAAAAGGTTAAATATGACGTCATACAAACTTTGACAGGCTATATATATCGAAAACTAATTGAGTCCGACAAAAAATAAAAAGTGTTCTGAATTCCTACCATCATGTAGTATCATCCCAGAAAAAATCGCGAAAATCCGTGAGTATCCCATGAAGTATAATTTAGCCACGTTAGTAATTCTGAAACTCAAGCAAACAAAAAATGATGTAAACAGGAGATTTGTAGTTATTGAAGAATATATTAAATTTTATCGAATGTACATAGCTCTTCGACCAGCAGCAGCAGACGATCGCCGCCTGTTTTATGCATATCGCAATGGAAAATGTATCAATCAGGTTGTGGTTAGCAATCAGTTTTATAAGGTACCTGAAGCAGTGGCTAATTTTCTTCAACTTGAAAATGCCAATTCATATACAGGTCATTCATTTCGAAGACCGTCTGCTACACTTTCAGTTGAATCTGGGGGAGACTTGATGACACTAAAGAAACATGGCGGTTGGAAGTCATTAACGGTCGCTGAAGGTTATGTTGATGAATCGGTAGCACACAGGACAGAAATAGCTAATAAAGTGTTTAGAACGTTTGCCAGTGCTGAAATAACACCCACACACTATTTGCGACCAGGTACATCAACAGCAGTAGTGTCCATGGCAGAAAAAAATATAATTTCAATACAAGAAAATTCAACTGTTGTACCGTATAGTTCAAGGAACATATCATTCATGCAATGCACATTTAATAATTGCGCTTTTGATATAAAGTAAATGTAACTTTTGTATAAGAAAATATTCTAAAATATAAATCACGGATACTTTTTTCCCGGGGAAAAAAGTAATTTCATAAAAAGTGACATTTTGTTACCTGCCATCAGAGATAAAATGTCAAACTTTTGTCCCGTCACAGAAAAATTTCATTTAATAATCGATTTTCAATTGTTAAACTCAGATTACTTGTGAGTATTGTTCATATAGGGTCTTTCAAATACCATCCTCACCATTGGGATTTCGGAAACTATGAGAGATACAAAGATGGTTAAAGCGGGGCAAACAACAATATACCGTTGAGAAAGTTCTGAAATTCCGGGTATATCTGGAGATATCCGGAAAAAACAGAAATTTCGGAAAAAATGTTTTTATTTTCTTCTGGCTTTATTTCTCGAAGGTTCGAAAAATAAATTCCACTTCAAATTGCCACTTTTTTCCTGCTACATAACGGTCCAATAACTTGAACATTGAAAAAGAATGATAACTCATGAGACATTTTTAAAAAGCATGCGTGTACTCTTCCACCACCCTCAAGGAATGATGGAGATCCTTCTCTCATAAAGTTCCATATAATCATCCATATAAAACAGATGGGTGACCTTGTGCCTCCAGTTTCCGGGGGTGCCACAGTTATACCCTCGAGTATTTCTGAGCGCAACGGATAATGGCAATAGTGAGATGCAGAAGAGAAGGGGACTGAGGGAACCGCCCTGAAATACACCCCTTCTGAAAGTGACCCACCCTATTTGGACTCTTGCTTGACCAGATGTTATGGTGAAGCGAGTTCGCCAAAGTGGTATCAGTTGTTCAATGAATCTCACTATGTTGTCGGGTACCGCAAGGCATCTGAGCAAATGCAAGATGAGCTCATGCGAAATTGTATCAAATGCCTTACGGTAATCGATCCAGGCCATAGAGAGGTTACGCTTATATTATATCGAGTCCTGCGTTACACATCTATCGATGAGCAGGTTCTCTTTACATCCAGCGACTCGTCTCTTCGACCCTCTCTGCTCATATATCCGTTCGAACACTCGGTCAACTGCGGTGAGTATTCGTGTGTATAAGATGCTTATAACACGAATTCATGCATGTTATCTGTCTGTAATTCTTAGGAATCGACAAATCTCCGCTTTTGGGGATGAGATCGGTCCGCCCCTCGACAAACCAATGCGGAATCGGCTGCTCTCCGTTTAGTCATGAGTTGAAAACTGTGGCCAGATGGCGGTGGGTACTTGGTAGTTTTTTCCACCAATAAGTGTTCAGCCCATCTGGATCTGGAGCAGCAAAGTTCTTGGAACCAACTAGGGCCCTTCGAACGTCATCCGGGGTTATCGGGTTGCGCAGTTCATTGAGATCAGGCTGTCGAAGCTCTGTTGAAAGCTTCGAATTGCGCTAGGGCTGGAGTGTCTAAGTTGAATGGCTGCGGGTGTTCATAGATATCTTTCCAGAAGGATTCCACCTGATTAGCAGTCATCGGATTATCCACAACACGTGGAGGCTCTTGGAATAAGCGAGAAGGTATCGGGGCTTCAGGGAAAAGGGCCTGACCAGCGCACACTACGGTGGAAAAAATAATAATGATAATAATAAATTGTTTATTATTTGCCGGTAAAATAATTACAGAACTGTAAAACTCAACCTAAAGAAGACAGAAAAACAAAAGGAGTAGTGTTAGGTCAATTGACCGATTCTTCCACACTCCCCTAAAAAAAACAAAATATATAATGAATTATTAATGAAAATCTACTTAGTTATAATAAAGTGAGTACTTATAACCTATATAAATAATTAATACTTGAATACACCACTGGTTGAACAAATATAAACTAAAATAATTAATTTTTATAATATACCACTAATTACAAAAATGAAAACTAAAAAGATGCATTTTATTCACTAGGTAATATCATNCATCCACCTCACTATTATTATAATAATTTAATATATCTTTATCAGGCAATCGATCATCTCCGAGTTCATTAATCAAAAAATTGTTATATTCCTGAGGATGTTTCAATGATTCCGGTATCACAGTATTCTGTTTACGCGTTATATTCAGGTTTTTTATTTCTTTCCATTTTTCTTTCAAGGTACAGTTATAGAGAGTTTGAGTATTAGTATTATTATTTTTCCATAAGATTCCACAAATTTTAATGTTTTTTGCAATGCAGTACTCTTGTAAGTTCAACGGAGTTACATCTAAGTCGCTCTGAGACGGTATACCAACTCCACCACCTATATAATTGATTCTGTGATATGAGTTAGAAAGAGTAAAATCATAAAAATTAAAAGAGTTCACAGAGCTTTCAAACCACCAGATCTCTGTCAAACATATAAATTAAGTCGATAATTGTCAGTTAGATATTCAGCACTGATGTAATCGAGTTTGTCATAATTCAAACATTTCGCATTTAGCAGCAAGCTAAATTCTGGTACTTCTGGTACTGGTACTTCACCTGAGTTGAGGAATGATTCATGGACCTCCGAAAGTTTAAAATACTCGAAGTTTCTCATCATATTTTCTCGCGGACAAAATATGATGAGCTGTTTTTCCGTGTTTCGCTCCGTGTTCTGTGTTTTTTATCCCCATATAAGGATTATTTTCAAAACGCTTCGGCAAAGTCTCATTTGCCATCTTCTGGTGATGGCTGGAGTTTTTACAAGTAGACTTGTTTTGTTGTGGAAATGATCCTCATGAGGATGAAAAACACGGGGCAAAACCCGAAAAATCAGCTCATCATATATGTGTGAGTTTTGATGATTTCATGAAGGTTGTGAAAATTCGTTTTTAACATCCGCAACAAGATGGTTCAGAGTAGAGGAATTTGCAACTATAAATATTAATCATTGTGTATGAAAATGAAAACAACTTACTGTGCTGCCCAATGAATTTTTATTCCATGGTGGATCGACCGTGACGAGAACGCCGGCATTGATTTCATTGCGTTTCTTTCCAACATTATTTTCTGAATCATCTTCAGCGTACTGAGTAACATAGTGGTTAACTCCTAGAAAATCGAATGTTCCATTGATAAATTCAATTTCTTCTTCAGTCAATTTGGGAAGTTGAGAGATCGCCGAGTTTTCCATTAATCTTCTTTTTTCCATTCTTTCTTTTACCGCTTTGGGCCACCCACCTTTGAAAATTGGATGTGCAAAGATACCAATCTAAAAAATACTAGTTCAGAAAAAATGTATACAATGTAAACCAATTAGTTTTTTCCAGACTATTCAACTTTAATCTGTAACACTGACCTCAGCGGTTTGAAAAATCAACAATAAATATGTTATACAACTTGTATACTTTAATTAATTGCGTTCTTTCTCTGTCAACGGGACGCATTTTCACGTTTCCTACACCGTGTAAGCTACTGGTTGCGTTGACGAGCTAGGAAATGTACTGCACGCCAAACTCTCCGTTCCCTAGACAGTGGGCGCTACAATGCGTGATTGATGCTCAAAATGCCTGACACTAAGTCATAGTGGTAGTAGGTTTTTTCTAACAGTAATAAAAAAATCTAGGTAATCATTTGTAATTTATAATTTCAATTGTGTGTGGAATTGGCCGCCGCGGTAGTGCGCCCGACTCACAATCGGAAGACCGTGGGTTCGATTCCGGCCTCGGCCAGATATCTTTCTCGAGAGAATGTATCTGGTTGAAGCTGGGATGATTCTGCAACCGTGTTAGGAATCACACGTTGAAAGGTAAGACTTCGTTAGTCCTCAGCTCGCACAAGTTTCTCATCTTCGGAGAATTGTCGTTTGTATGGGGGCGATAGCTGATTAACGGAAAAACAGATTTTAAACAGATTCAAACAGAATTCAATGTGTCATATACATACATTCTGATAGTAGGCCATGACCGATAGCAGTTGGTTGATTGAGCTCAATATTTTTAATGATCTCATCTATTTTGATCTCTTCTTTTTGTTTCTTGAAACTTCCAACTTTGGAGGCCTACCTGCCTGTATTGCTCTAGAACCAGCATATAAACTTCTATTTGCCCAGCGTGCAATAGAAGTAGGTTGGACTTTTATCTGTCTCGTTTTTTTTAAACTACAAGTGCTTGTGCAGATATTGGCAAACGACTCAATATTTTCGATAGTTTCGATTTTCTTATTGCGGTTACATTTGTGTTCTAACATGAATTTTGAATGATTAGCTTCAGCAAAATTATAGAAGTTGTTTAGGTTTGATTTAAATTTTGACAGTCGCACCTGTTACTCTGCTGATAATTCATTATCAATCAAGGTATTTTCCAACATTTCACTTGATGTAGGCAAAACTGTGTTATTTGCTTGCATTAATTTGGTGAACTCATTTTAATTTTTTTCGTTAGCATTGTAATGTATCGAAATATCATCCTGTTTACGAACAATCGCTATTAATCAATATGCCATAGCGCAACCCGATCTGCCAGATTCCTAGGCACCTGCGCGTACCGAAAGGGCTGGAGGTGGTGGTTGAGATATCACCATCGAATACCCACAATTTTGTAAATACGATTTGAAAATACGTTTAATTATTTTTTCAACAATATATCCTTTGCTAAATGATGAAGTTGTATCATTTGTGGACCTTCAGAAACATTACACTTGGCGACGAGGATTAAAATTACAGAGTGCCGTATTTAGCAGTTAGATTAACATCGAGTGTATCGCAAAATGGCTTCGGCAGTTGACCTTGCATTGAGTCTTGTTTTCGATCCGAAAACATATGAGTGGCAAGTTTTTATAGAGAGGTTAGAACAATACTTCATAGCGCGAAACATTGCAGATGAAAATATTAAGCGTGCAGTTCTACTATACAGTTTAGCCGAAGAAGCCTATCAGCTGCTAGTTGATCTGTCGATACCGGATAAACCGGAAAATAGTGGTTATAATGTTATCCTGAAACATCTTGACGATTATTATAATAAAACACGGGTTGTGTGGGTAGAGAGAGCAAAGTATTACTCAGTACACAAACTAGATAATGAATCGGTGCAAGATTGGGCAGTGCGACTAAAAAAATTGGCCAGCAACTGTCAATTTGGAACACAGTTAGACACAAAACTGACAGATATATTTATAACAAGATATAACGAAGGAAAAGTAAAAAATACCTTATTGGGGCTGAAAGTCGATGCAAATTTCAGTAAAGCTATGGAAACTGCTCTAATCGAAGAAGCTGCAATCGAGGGAATCAAAGAGTCTAGGATGGAAACGGAAGTGAAAAGAGAGCCAGCGCTGAAGGAAGATGCAGGAATAAACCGTATTGGAAACAGTTCGAGGAGTGATCACCGGCAGAATGTAAGAACCGCTCGATCAGGAAATCAGAGCCGTTATTCATCATGGGGAGAATCTACACAATATCAAGGAGGAAGTGGCGCGAATACTAGTGCTAGTGAAAAGGCAAATGTGACGTGTTTTCGTTGTGGGAGAGGACATTTTCCAAATTCGTGCCCTTACAAGGATTATATTTGTTCTGTCTGTAATGGTAGGGGACACCTCAGAGCGGTATGTAAAAAAACAAATAGAAATTTAAGATTACTAGAAAATGAAAGGTCAGAAAATGAGTCTCCTGTTCTTTGTTTACTAAACGATAAGGATGTACCTATTTATATTGAAATTGGTATAGAAAATAAGATATTCAAATTAGAATTGGATTCAGGGACAGCCGTTTCAGTCTTACCATTTAACATGTATGAGAGTCATTTCAAACATTATCCCTTACAGCCTGCAGCTATAACAATAATTAACTATTCTGGGAAGAAAATTCGGCCAAAGGGAAAAATAAATTTGGAGGTTAAGTTTCACAATAAAGTCAAACTTTTAGATTTTTACGTGATGGATAATGATTGCCCAGCCTTGCTAGGGAAAAATTTTATCAGAAATTATAATATGGGTTTCAAAGAAATCAATTATGTTGAAGATAATACACTTGAAAATATAGTACAAAAATATTCGTCCGTATTTTCTGATCGTTTAGGGACATTCAATAAATTTAAATTGAAATTAAACATTGCCACTGACGCACCGGCAAAATTTCATAAGCCTAGACCACTACCATTTTCCTTGAGAGGAAAAGTGGAAACAGAATTACAAAAATTAGTAAACGACGGTATCATTTC